CCCCATTTTCTTTCCTGCGTGCTGGTTTAATGTAGCGTCCTTCATTCGATCACTATTTACAGTGAACTATGACCCTTGCTGTTATGCATTGACATTCTATAACAATTCAAACTGCTCTATTTTTCATGCAAATCATGCAGTTGAAAAGCTGTCGCGAACTTTGCTGTATCTGGTACATCTTTGTGCTTATGCCCGCTTTTACTTCCTACCGGGAAAAAATGCTTTAAATGGTCTTTTCTACCTTTTGCTTCTTCCTGACGCGCAACCTAATTCATTCTAGGTACTTTGTTGCTACCATTCTAGCTTTGAAACGTCGAAACGTTGCTTCGCAAATGCTTCTTTTGCGGATTTCGCCTACTGCGCGGAACAACTAATGACGTATTGGACCTCAAACAATACCGGTACTTTGCTTATTTACTTACAATTACGCTCATAAGATAATAATTCAGAGTTAAACATAGCATTCTTTGTTAAACATGTTTAAAACAATCTTTTTGTAAGTTGAGCAGCGGAGGAATAGTTCTTGAAAATTTGCAGTTCAGTTCAGTTCCGTTTTTTTTGTGGGAAATGTCTATGTGTACCTTTGAAATTCCTATTTGCTTACATGCCTGTTGTGATATCAAAACAAAATAGTACCTCATCTTATTGGCGATACCAAATAATGCGGGCCACTGAAGTGGAAAAAAGAAACAACGCAGCAGACAGTGAAAATAAAACTCCTTGGGATGTTTTGGGGGAAAAAACTGCCGCTCATGGGGAGAGGCAGTATGCTAGGCCGAAACAGGGAGAGGGTCGTATAAGTCACGGAGATCATCACCGAAGTGTTGGAAATGCAGCCAGGGGAACCCCTGGTAATTGCAGAGTCCACCAACAAGGTTGCGAAAACAGAAGTGTTCGTCACGATCGTCGACAGTCCATTGCGGATCGAATCAGGGGAGAACGCTATCTTCTGAAGGTGCGACAAAAAGAACTTCTGAGTATCCAGTCTAACCCCGGTCACATGTAATTTTGGAGGATAGCCTGTCAAGTTCGTTGTTGTTGGTAACCGATAGGAATTTCCTTATGCAAGCCAGCAATTTTGAGCGGGCTTGATGCGGCTTGTTAGTATCAGATCTCCCCGTCGTGATTGGAATATAGTCGAGTTATTCAGTACGCAACAGTCGAACAGTTG